AAAAAAAAAAAAAAAAAAAAAAAAAAAACATTAAAAAAATAAATAGAGTGAAGAAAAGGCTCTTGCTACCACTGGGCTTACATACTACAGAAAGTAAGCAAAAACATGTTCAGTAAAATATATCGATGTTAGAAAAGCAAAATGGGAGTATAGAGTGCTAGAGAAGAATCAACGTAGGGTATTGCAGTTTTATGTAGGGTGGTCAGAGAACACAACATTTGAGCAAAGACTTAAAATGAGGAACAAGCCGTGGAAATCTGCAGTGAAAAAGTCCTAGAGACTGATAAGTAGACAACTGAAGGAGTGAGCAAGCCCCTAGGTCTCACCACTCAGGAGCACTACATTCTTGGGTAGGTGAGTGGGGTTCAAAGTGAGAGAGAACATAGTTCCCAGGGAATCCAGCCCCTGGACACAGCCAGGGACCTGTCTGTGCAACTAAAACCCTTCACTTTGCTAGGAGGCTTGATCTTTCCCATAGAGGGAGATAGGGGCAGGAAGACTGCATCATCAGATTACTGACTGATATCTGTTGTGTCTCACAAAAAACACCAAATCAGAGGGTGACGTGTGATTTCCACAGCTGCTAAGAAGAGGCCATGCAACTCAGATGTACACTACAATACATTATGAATGTTAGGTTATGTTAAGTTTGAATGTTGGTCTATCATAGTCAGGAAATTATTATTTTAAACCTCCACTAAGAAAGAAATTTAGCTCTTCAGTTTAGCAATTTTCCTTTAAGTAATCATTCTTTAAAATATAGTCATATGTGGCTGGGCGAAGTGGCTCACACCTGTAATCCCAGCACTTTGGGAGACCGAGGCGGGCGGATCACCTGAGGTCAGGAGTTTAAGATCAGCCTGATCAACAAGGAGAAACCCCGTCTCTACTAAAAGTACAAAATTAGCTGGGCGTGGTGGTACATGCCTGTAATCCCAGCTACTTGGGGGGCTAAAGCAGGAGAATCACTTGAACCCAGGAGGTAGAGGTTGCGGTGAGCCAAGATCACGCCATTGCATTCCAGCCTGGGCAACAAAAGTGAAACTCCATGTCAAAAATAATAAAAAAATAAAATATAATCACATGTGTACAAGGAGGTATATGCAAAATATTGTTTGTAAGAGTAAGAAAACTGGTAACAACCTAATACATATCATCAAAAAAATGGCTAAATTGGCCGGGCGCGGTGGCTCAAGCCTGTAATCCCAGCACTTTGGGAGGCCGAGGCGGGTGGATCACGAGGTCAAGAGATCGAGACCATCCTGGTCAACATGGTGAAACCCCGTC